GCTACCATAATGATACCCTTTCTTCCACCTCTAGACTCTTTACACAGGTAAGCGCCAACATCCAGAAATACTACAAAGGCTGCATATCAGTAATCATAGTGGTAGTCCAATAGCCTGGTGCAATAAGCAACTTTTCATTTTAATGGCAATGACTTTTCACATTTTCAATTATTTAAACATATGCTTTTTCAGTAGATACATTAAAAGTAGCCCAAGAAAAAAGCTTCCTTGTACTTAAAATAGATAATAATCTGCAAGGCTTTTAGACAAACAGAGAATATATTCAAAATTGAAGTGAAGCAATTTTTATGCACCATAAAAACGGTTATGCTTCACTGGGTAAAAATGGATTGTTTGCCTTTGGAATAAATATGCTTTTACTTGCAATCTTCCAGGCAATTAGCTAAACAACTGTTTTAATTAACGCTCTGGAATCTATCAAGTATTAAAATGTGCCATCACTGATGAGCAACAGTTAGAGTTGGTAGTCCGAGCAAATGGAATAGGAATTCCAGCTCATTCCTAAGTGTTTTTCTTCACATCTCCAGACAAGTTTCTTTATCTTAAAATGACAATAATTATTTTACTGCCCCACAGTAATACGAAGAATAATTAGTACAATGCAAGTACAAACAGCATGGTGCTGCTTTGCCTACATATGAAACGACACACAGCAGAAGTTAGTTACATCTTACTCTTTTTAAAATTTAATTCTGTGATTCACATGACACAGAAAGATAGAACTGTGTCACTGTCACTGTCACTGTCACCCAGGGCAGCAACCCCACTTTTCCTTCGCTTTCTAAAACTCCTGAACCCCCCCACCCCCCTTGCCCGCAGTTCCCTGACACCCCAGGGAGCCGCTTCCCATTCATGGCAAGAGCAGCTCATGAAGAAGCTGCGTCTGCCAGGTAGGTGCCCACTGAGCCAAACCAAACAGAGAAAAGCAATGCCTGATCCACAAACTGAGTCAGATCACAGAAGCTTCCATTTTTAAGAAACAAACCAGGCTAAATCAAGAAGTTGTACTGTTTTCTATCATTAACAATTTCCTTGAAGTTAATCAAGTTAACAGGCAGTGATCTAGTTGAAAAATCAATCCTACATTACAGTTTGAGCTCCAAAGCAAGGCACACATGAAAGCATCACACCACTTTGTTTCTGTCAAGTGCATTTTCTAAATGATGCATACCAAAACTATCAATCTAGACTGTCAGATTCTAAAAAAACTTGTGTTTGACATTCATAGGAAAATTGGGGAAAAAAAGAGCAGTAGGAAGTCTCTAAAGCAAGCACGAACTAAAATTCCAGCCAGGAGTATCTGCACTGGATTAGAACAATAGTCCTCTTATACATAGTAAGGAACTACATATCATCTTCTCCTTTCGTTTATATGTTCTCCATAAAGTAAGAGCAATCACTCAGGAAAAAGGAAGGGAAAAAAAAGAAAAAATAGGGCAGATTAACTGGGTGCTTCATCAAAAACATCAGTAACTGGAAACCAAGAAGAGTAAGGTGAGACTTCTAAGTGTGTCAGAAGGTGGCTGTCAAAGTCTAATGGCTGCACTAGAAAACCTGAGTCAAAAGCCTCTCTTTACATATAACTCCAGGTTTTATATATTTCACCTGACCTCTGAAGAAAGATTAAAAAGCTAGAGAAATGCAGATGGCCGTTTGTTTGTCAGTACTTTGCATTTCTTATTCCCAGCCTGCTGAATTCCAGACATTTGCCAGGAACACTATCTGTCAATCACACTTAAAGTGGATGATCTAAGCTTTTACCATCAATCATTTATATTCTCTGCTGGATTTGTGGGTTGAGGACCTTTTCCACCGTCAGCACAGTATGCACCGGGAAGCCAAATAGTTTTCTGCCTTTTATGTTTGCTTGTTTTAATTACAGTAACAAGTCCCCAAACCCTGATATATTTAAACACTAAAGAATTACATTATAAAACCAGCACCTTCTGTTTCCATACTTTTTCTTTCCCAATCTTTTCTCTGTAACAAATTTGCTATTCAACTTATAAGTGAAAAGAGGATTTCTCTGTTACCACTGCAAATTCAGACTGAGTCAGGCAAAAGGTCAGGCCACATCCACTCTGTCTCCTGAAAGCAGCACCAGTAATGAAGATCTGATTATTGCAACTTAGCCAAGTGTTTTGCTGATTCTGTTTGAGAAAAAAAAAACAAAAACAAAAACCCCCAAAACCCAAACCCGCTCACACATTACAGCTGAATTGCCTTGACGTGCCTACCACAACAACCCTTAGTTTTTTCACTCCTACAAGCTAGTCCATGTCACAGGGTCCTACAAATTGTATTCAAGCATAATTCCACCAACAACAGTGCATTTACCACTGATATGAGACTTGGGTCAAAATCATTCCCTCTGTGATGACCATGTGTCTATTTGGCTTCAACTGAAAACCTTTCCCTCTTCTCTCAGCTCTTCCTTATCTGAGTAAGGCGCGCAATTTTAATTTTCCCATTTTACAGAGAGACGAGAGATTCAAGGAAAACAAAGGCACTAGAGCAAAAATAAATTTTCCTTCTGGTGCATCGTTTTAAGGCAACAAATATTTGCCAGCCAGAGAAAACAAGTACCATTTGGCATGAAGGTAGAGTGTTCAGTATCCATCCCACAACTGAATTGCACAACTTGACAAGCCCTGAATAGCCTGTAGTTTGGTCCTCCAACACGGTCCAGCTAGCAGGAGATGATGCATGGAAGTGATTTGCTGCTTTGCATTTTCTTAAGATTTCTCAAGTGCAAACTGAGACATGTAATGAGAAGTGAATCACCAACTGCACTGCACAGAATATACTATTTTTCATTAACCAGAGGTTTTAATCACTCTTTTCCTCTAATAAGACCTTATGGAAAAAAGCCAGAGCATCAGTGCCACAGAAACCAAAAGAATTGTTAAAGTGATAATAAACTGAAGTTGCACTTTCAGTGATTTACCTGGTGCACAAATAGAAACACAGTCTATCTGTTCATATTTTAAAACACAGCTTGGCATCATTTTGCAGACAGTTTACTATACAACTGCATGAATTTTCTCTGTTGAAGCACATTACTGTACAGACAAAATAAAAACATTTATTTTAGAGCACTGGATGAGTAGCACCAACATGAATTAGTTACAGCTAAGATTTCTGTTATTATTATAATTAATGTGTTTATTTGTCTCTCTGAATAGAGCATGAATTATATTTCACTAC